TTTATTATTCGCTATGTATCAGATGCCGTGTTGCATATATTAAGTAAGGTTACAAAATGGGAAATGCTATTACTCATTTTTCCTTTTTTATCGTAAAACACAATACGTATTATAGTTTATAAGATAATTTTGCCCACGATAGTTTATGTTATTATCTCACATTTGGTTGTCGCGGGGAACAACAAGAAGGGTAGAAAAATGTCTACCTACTAAAAAAACCAAAAGCAACTACTCGTAATTACAAGAAAGCTACATCCGTATTTACGTTTTCTTTTGTATAATGAAGGAAATGATACCAGGAACCATCTACAACAACTAAGAATAACTACCAAAGAATGAACACTAGCTAGGCCAGGGCATCTGTGACTACTTGGAAGCGCTCAGAAGCAGAAAAAAAGAGAGAACAGAAATTACTGCTAAGCGGTTAATAATCGTCGGAGGGGCTAGTAGTAGGAGTGAGTAAGACAGGTCGCAGAAATGACCTAAATCTGATGATATACAGCTCCAGATCGTTAATATATTCTCCTGTGAGTTATCACAGCAGAAAGATCGGATAAGTTAAAAGATTTTCTTTGATGAGAATATAGTTTTTCATGTGTAGCTTAGAACTTTCTATCAAACGTTAATATTGGAATTAAATCATTTTTATTTGTTTTTTTGAAAAATAGACGAGAAAGTCAGTAATAATTACAAATTTGTTCAATTTTTGTTTTTCATTACGTATCTGTTTTTCTCTTTGCTAAAGACGTTACTAGATTACTAGGTGTACAATTTGAGAAGAAGGTGGCGGTGCCGATAGTTACTGGGCAATTGCACTCATAGATACAGTGATGAGTCATATGACTTGGGCGATGGTTTTATTTTGTTATTACAGTATTTACGCGGATTTTGTTTTGATTGATCATTTTTGTCTACTCTTCTTACCGAAAAAATTAGAAACTACCATCGCGTAGAGGACGTATAATATTGAGGATACCCTCACAGCGGTCAAATGATTTCGGCTGTGGCGTCTCTTCGACTAACTTGGATGCTTAACTTTCATTGGCACGACACAACTTTTCAATAATAACAACAAATTATCAACAACCAACTACATTATCATCAAGAAAATTTTTATATAGCGATTATACCGATGATTGATTCAGTAAATTTATCGTTATTGATGTGGGGATTAGACAATTAAGACGCGAAAGGACATCCTTAGCAATATACCGACGACAAGAAATTGCTGTTGTCACTATTGTTTGTTGTTGATTACTATCTCCATCTATTTAATTGACATTCAAGTGAAAGATAATATTACTTCAAGATCTCAAGACCCGAATCATATTGCTGTAGTAGTTTATATAGAAGATTGTTATTTACTTTTAAAGGACATTGGTACTTTTTTGGAAAATTTAAAGGACATTATTGATGATACATTCTGTGCATTATTAGAGATTCAAGGACACAGATCTTATTGGGTTTATGACTTTGCTGATACGATGAAAGTCTTTACCCGCAATCAAGACTATAATTCCTATAATAATCGGAAAGGAAGTTTATAAAGTCGAGACTTTAGTCTAAGCTTCGAAAGATTCAGCAGCACTATCTATTCGGTCGAGTAAAGGGCCATGCGAGTATCTAAAACATCGGATACGTTCCAACAACAAAAGGATCGTAGTTATCTATATCACGTCTTAAATTCGTCTACATTGGTTAACCTTGCAAGCATCGACGAATGAAATTCATGTCAAAATTTATGGAGAACACTAATTTTCGCAACGAACATTAAACCCGAATCCAGTAAAGATATAATTATCCCTTTATTTAGTCTGCGATTTTTTTTGCTTAGATGACTGTGATATGGTATATTCTATGATTACAGTCGTTCACTATATAACGATAAAGATAAACACAACTCTCTACGTATTGTCATACAATCGCCGGGTGTGACAACTGCGTTCGGTAAAGATTCACCAAACTATGGTAGTGTACGGTAAGAGCATATTAATATTCATCGAGATACAATGAAAATTTACCATAGTATGACTATCACCGAGCTATCGTTCAATCCTTTAATTTTACAACTTTCTCTTATACATTAATCACTTTCATGAAGATGGCTATGCGTTTGCGGCTGCAATCAAAGACATTATTCGATCTTCTCCAAGAGTTTCCCTTTTCCTGTCTAAGATAAGTACAGCAAACACAAAGTTATATGTGTTGCGCCTCAGATCACGGCTTGTCTCAGGTAATGCTTTACATGTTTAACTTCAGCCAACATTAACTTATCTTCCAGTCCTAACCCTAACTTAGTAGAACTCGTATTTCAATTGGCTGAACCTCTCTATAGTCAATCATTCCCCCACCGTTTCTAGTTCACTAAATTGCGTGTATTAAATAAAATCCCTATATAAGCACACATCCCTATAGTTACACCATCACTGGGTCCCGAGGGATGTAATTATAGAGGGGATGTTTCTTGACTTACTACACGAATTCACAAAATATAGTCGAAGTAATTATCCGCGGTTGATAATGAATTTTATCAATATTAAGGCGTCGTGCAGGCATAAAAGGTTTGTAAAGTTGATTATAATATTAACATAGTCTAATATTACAACAAGACTCTCTCTGACGAGTTGATTTGTTTTTTGATGGAATTTCTATGGAATAATTTATGAATTCACCTTTGGAACTTTAGATGATAACATTCATAGGACATTAAAGTGATACTGCTGCTTAAATCTCTATTACATAAGTATATGATAAATGCACAATGCTCTAATACATATAGGTATCAGTATCATCTACCTCGTGATGATAAAAAAATGGCCAATTGGCTTTTCTTTACTAACAAAAAGATAAACATGCACATAAATCTAGACTTTTTTCTCAAATCCTTAAATACATAACCATTCGTTTAGCGTTCTTGTTAATCGAAAAAAATTTTATATGTGATTATAACAAAAGGTTGAATGAAGAGTCAAAGACTGAACAAAAAAGGATAGTCAATTTGTACAACGATAAGATTTAATCGATATATAGCGATATATAGAACAATACATGATCATGTGTTGTGATCAGAAAAAGTTATTAATCCGTATATATAGCATAGTCACGTTGTATTGTGTTTACAGCCTTCTCTTAGCGTTAGCTATAGAGTACATATACAAGCAAGCTATTACAAACATTCGACTACCTATTTATTTCTCACATAACAGAAAATTTCTGCTACCCAAAGAAAGCGTTGAACATTCGCTATATTTAAAATGAATAGCCTGAAACCTATAAAGAATAAAATCCCATCGGACAATATTGCCAAGGTCCATGAAATTTATAAGAACAAAAATATTGAGTCAGCGTATCAAAATATCGGTAGGACAAGTAAGAAACTATTCCCCGGAATCGTAAAAGCTCTTATTTTAAGAGAGAATGCGCCAACTCAAGATTTAGTGATTGCTGAATATATCCGCGCGTTTAATTTGGCTACCTTGGGGTTTGTCACTTAATTGTTTACGCGTTACTCGATTGCCTTTTCATTTTTTCGGATTTTGTAATTATTAAATAATCATGATTGCTCTATTATAATTCTTATCGTTATATTACAATACGTAAATCTTAATTCTATAAAAACATATAGTGGCAAAACACCACGGAATACTATCAATCGTGAATTAAATCTTTACCAAAAATGCAAGAAATCGTCGATATTCGTTAAAAGTACAGAAAATAATGTACTTTGGAATTTAGATGTAAATAAGAATTTGATCAACGAAGCAATTACGGAGTACCGAGTTTTTTTAAACGGTAAATCCATAGCGTCAAAAGCCTCTACTCAAAAAGCAGTTATGGGATCGAGTTCAACAAAAATCCCAACCGTAAGTGTGCCCAAGGTTGGGAAGAAACGTTCCGTGGATGCACGTAATGAAGAAGGTGCGGATGAAGGTAATAAACGAAAAAATATAAATTGTTTCTACCAGGTTGTTTTATTTTGCATTAATTAATTTTTTATCTAGAAGAGGCTCCACCTAAACAAAAGATTAGAATAGGCAGTACAAGGTGGGGCGAAAAGGTGGTGAATTTGATCAACTGGGTTGTAGATGGGTTGGTTGTTCGTGATGATGAACAAGACGGTGAGAGTGAAGACGAGGAGCGAGTAGTTGTAGGAGAGAAGACGACTGCATACCACGGAACGTTTGATGCAATATTTTTCTAATAAAATTTAATATTATCAAAAAAATAAATTTACTGTGACTAGGTCATATAGTCACTGGTCACGAGATCAGAACTGCAGAGTTTGGCAAAAAAGTGTCTGGTCACGTGATGATAAACCAATCCAACCAATAAGCACGCGCAAAAATTCTGCGCAACCAATAGGAATGTAGCAAATTTTTTATCAACCCGGCAAAACAAATCCGACACAAGAAAAATGAGAAAAGACAAAAATGCGAAAAATACAAAAAACAGATATCTAAATCTAGCTTGACGCATTATCAAAAAATGTCGAGAAGCCAATTTTATATATAATATTTATCTCAGATCTAACCCTAACTTAATGCTTGATATCTAATCTTAATCGGATATTTTAATGGACCTATTTCAGATCACATGACCCGATAGCTATTTTTGCCATGGCTAGGCTACTAGCTTATTGGACAAAAGAAAGTATTAGGTTACAAAGTTCAAAAATGACCAGTGATTTAATCATAAGTCACCGAGGTTATTAAGGACAGGCTTAGTGACCTCGTTTGTTCATGTCATTATTCCGCCTGTTGAATCAATAGGAACTGATTCAGAAAATGCGCAATAATTCGGTAGGATCGACAAATTTTTTTCATAGGGATGTTCTTACCAGAATTATAAAATTTGATTAATTTTGGCCAAAATTATGTTTCAAATTGTCAGCTTATTTAATAAAGTACATGTATTCAAAATTTAAAGCTCAATAAATTTTTAAATATGTACGTATGCTAATAAAAAAATTTCAACATTAGTTTATACATGTAGTTCTGGTCATGAACCATCAAAGTATCCACATTAGGAAACTGCGAGCCGATAAAGTAGAGAATTTTGCCGGTTTCAAGTTAAATTAGGACAATTTAGTTTTTTTTCTTTCAATTTCAGTTTTGGAAAAATTATTTGCATTGAATATCGGTGTTTTAACATTATAGATGCCAACGCGAATAATTTTTCAAGATTGCCAAAAATGATACAGTGGCATCTTTTGCTGGCTTGTGGTTACCAACCAATCTGGCCACATCAGCCGAATCTCCCAAAGACTTACAACTCAAACATGAGAAATTTAGTATAATTCTTTTCATAGCATAAAGCGCTAAAAATATTTATCGTTTTTTAAAATTTGAAAATTTCATTCTACATCTACAGTATCTACAGTATATTTCGGATACGTATATGCTATCGCTATTTGTGACAGTATACGAAATGTTTGACAAGCCCGACTTTTTATACAATTGTTAATTTTTGAATTATACGAGCAGAATCATAATACAAGGAACCAAAATTAAATTACTAAATCATTACTAATAAGTGTCTTTATCTACTATACATTCACGAATCCAAGAACAAAAGCTGCGATAAGTACTGATCGTTTATATACATAATTTGGAGCGGCATTGCTAGTGACAGCGGGTGTTGGAGAGGATGATGAAGCTGCACGACTTGAAGATGAAGAGGGTTTAGACGATATTGACGAACTTGATATTGAAGTTGTTGTAATACCAGTGCTATTCGTAAATAAAATAAAGTTAAAATCCATCTATTTAAGACTATAATGTAAACTGAGTACTTACCTAGTTTTAGATGCAGATCCAGTAGTTCCTGTTGCGGATGAGCTTGTTCCCGATGCATACGAAGATAGTCCTGTTACCGATGCAGATGATCCTGTCACCGATGCAGATGCAGATGATCCTGTCACCGACGGTGCTGTTCCCGATGCAGATGCAGATGGAGATGCAGATGAATCTGTTACCAACGGTGCTGTTCCCGATGCAGATGGAATTGGTGCTGTTCCCGATGCAGATGGAATTGGTGCTGTTCCCGATGCAGATGGGATTGGTGCTGTTCCCGAAGGTGCAGATGCTACAGGTAAAGAAGCTACAGGTGGAGAAGCTACAGGTGAAGATGCTATTGGCGAAGCTGGAGATGCTGCTGGAGATGCTACTGGAGACGCTGCTGGCGATGCGGCTGGAGATGCGGCTGGAGACGCTGCTGGAGATGCGGCTGGAGATGCGGCTGGAGATGCGGCTGGAGATGCGGCTGGAGATGCGGCTGGAGATGCGGCTGGAGATGCTGCTGGAGATGCTACTGGAGATGCGGCTGGAGACGCTGCTGGAGATGCTGCTGGAGAAGCTGCTGGAGATGCTACTGGAGATGCTACTGGAGATGCTGCTGGAGATGCGGCTGGAGATGCTGCTGGCGATGCGGCTGGCGATGCGGCTGGAGATGCTGCTGGAGATGCGGCTGGAGACGCTGCTGGAGATGCGGCTGGAGATGCGGCTGGAGATGCTGCTGGAGATGCTGCTGGAGATGCGGCTGGAGATGCTGCTGGAGATGCTACTGGAGATGCTGCTGGAGATGCTACTGGAGATGCTGCTGGAGATGCTGCTGGAGATGCTACTGGAGATGCTGCTGGAGATGCTGCTGGAGACGCCGCTGGAGATGCTGCTGGAGACGCTGCTGGAGATGCTACTGGAGACGCTACTGGAGATGCTACTGGAGACGCTGCTGGCGATGCGGCTGGAGATGCGGCTGGAGACGCTGCTGGAGATGCTGCTGGAGATGCGGCTGGAGACGCTGCTGGAGATGCTGCTGGAGATGCTACTGGAGATGCGGCTGGAGACGCTGCTGGAGATGCTGCTGGAGATGCTGCTGGAGATGCTACTGGAGATGCTGCTGGAGATGCGGCTGGAGATGCGGCTGGAGATGCGGCTGGAGATGCTACTGGAGACGCTACTGGAGATGCTACTGGAGATTCTGCTGGAGATGCTACTGGAGATTCTGCTGGAGATGCTACTGGCGCTGGAGATGCTACTGGTGCTGTTCCCGCAGGTGAAGGTATTACTGGTACATTTTGATTAGCTGCAGACCCGCTAAAAAGAATTTACATAACAAAAATTAATTTATTTCAATGAATAAATAAACCAAATTAGAACGTGTTAAATACAAACCTTTGAGATTTGACGCATATGAAGTTGGTCAATACTACAATTAAAGCGAAAATCAAGAATTTTTCATATACCTTCATTCTGAACAATTATATGATATTCTTAATGATTTAGAAATTCTCGTTAAACAAGAAAGAATTGTAAATAAGGAAATGCAACCTTATAAAGCAAATTCAAATTCGTTGTTTTTCCTCCAGAAAAACACGTCCGTTTATATAGCTAGCGATTATCCAACAAATTTTCCAAACAAAATAAAGCACCTCGGCGCGATTCATGTTGCAAACTTGAGCACGAATACTGCATGATCTTGTTAAAACTTCTTTCGAACGATGCATGTACATGTATATCCATGAAAAACCTAATTTAGTCGTTAAAGTTTGTACAACGTCATCATCATTTATTGACCTTTTTTGTGCTAATGAATAAGTGTTGTTATGCCAACGCATTATTTAGTTGCCAAAAAAGTAAATCTGATTACTATTCTCTTTTTTTTAGCATGTGTTGATGATTTTAAAATAGATCGTTTCCCACAATCTGATATGTGGTGTTTGCTTTTTGGAAATCTGAAAATACGTCATATTGCTGAATTGTCTGAATTCTAACGCTAATGTTAAAGACGAAAATCTGTACCTAAATGGTTTCATTAATAATAATAAATAATCCACGAAAAGAGAAAAATACGCAAGATATTTAATCAATTACATGTACATGGACATCGATATACGTAGTTTTTGTTTATCAATGGGTCAAAAAACAAAGATGCTGCAATCGAATGTTCACAAAACTTTCTTTTGAAGCATAAGTATGCAAAAGGACGCCAATACGTAGCGACATACTTGACAAATAGTATTTACATGTACAAATCACACTATTCTCGCATAAATAAACAAATTTGTTGTTTTGCTGTATTCGTTCTTTGAAGATAAATTTTTTTTCATTCATAAAATTTTATAATATTCAGAAAGTACTAAATTTTTTAAATTAAATACGATAACGAAATACGTAGCATACCGATTTCGAATATACACTATCATTGTGAACTGCAAAATATCTACGTATTACAGTCGACTTTCGATATAACGACGTGCAGATCCTATTGTAAACACTATTGTTTACAATAGGATCTGCACGTCGTTATATCGACTGTAACGTTAACGTTAACGTTAATTGCACAACGAAATTTAAGGCTGTGTTTAACGTTAAGTTACTCCGCAGATTGTTTTGGTCACACAACTTCAAGAAAAAAAACAAAGAATAATACCGATACAATAACGATAAACATTCAAACTCTTTTTTTGCATTCTTTTTCGTCAGCATCGAGATGTCGGTGCCCTTTTAACATTTGGACTGGGTCCAGTGATTTTTACTATTTCGGAGCGTTTCTAGCAAGGATCTGCTATGATTGTGTTAAACCAAATACGTAATAGAAGATATCGATATTGTAAATCGTTATATATTCAAATACAATTATTTGATGTGTCAAGTTAAACTTGTAATATTAGATTTCAGTTAACAGATTATTAGGAAATGTGTAAAAAAACAAGTGGAAAATTCAAAGTTCTAATTCTAGGTTACACTTATAATATCAGAACAGAAATAGTTGAAATCTTTAAACACTGTTCGCAGTTGTCTTGAGCGTGTTGGAGAACACAGTTGGAAGAGTTATTTGCGATTTAACTAATAAAAAACTTAGATACAGACAATTCAGGTTTACCGTTACATTTTCCAAGTGGCAGATTCTTCATTAGAGTTTGAGGTGAATGGAGAAATATCCTCTATGAGTTTCCAAACAATGTCGTATTTCGTTGCCAATATCACTACAATTGCTTCTCTAATTTATACTAAACTGATTTGGCTTATTTCTAGATCAGTTGTGTTTTCGTCGCCATTACACATCAGCAGATACGTGGATTCCTCATCAAGTTGTTTTCTTAATACATGGACATAAACAATAGTTGTTTTTCAAAACGAAACAACTAACAAGCTATATCGATATGAATTTCATTTAACCTGGAATCCAACACTAGTCGAAAAGATTTGCTTTACCTGGGCCATATCGCAAAATAATGGTAAAAAAATGATAAAGTTGCATTTTTCACCGGGTAAATCATATTTTTCGACGAGTACAATCATCAAATCAAGGACAGAAACAAAGTTTGAGATAATATTATCAACAATCCAAAGCTTATACCTGATCAGATGGCAATCGTTTATTCGCTATACGTAAGCTGTAATCAAAGAAATAAATAGAGCTTGCTATTGTAAATGGCAAATTGAAGATGTTTCTAATTCAACTTCAAGAAAAACAGTAATCATTACAACGATGCATACAAGGCAAACTTGTGCAGTAAAACAAAGAGATGGCTCCTTTTAATATAATTATCAATTTTTTTTACGTCTTCTTACCATTATGAACTTCGACCAATTGAGGGTATATGAGTAACTGTTAAAGGTGAAATGGCAAGATCTGGTCCACACTCAGATCTTCTTAAACTTCTTTATGCTTTAAAGAAAAGGTAAATTAATAAATGATGGTAAAAGATCTCTTAGAATATGAAGGGTCTGATGATTTTTATATATAAAATTAATTAGTTAATGAGGAAACAGATAATGAATCTTTGATAATTAAAACTTTCACAATATAAATTATTTAACAATAATTGTACCAGACCAATAATGAATTCAGATAAACTAATATATTTATAGGTAAGTGGATATTGTGAAATTCCGTAAATTTTATTCAAATAAAATTAAAGTATCGCTTTAATCAGTATTTCATTCGAAGCTACATATAACTTACATATACAATCAAGTAAATTTGTATAAATGGTCAGCTACAAGTTACTTCTCTTGAAATCTGAATCTAATATCTAATACCCATCCCTTTTTTCAAACGACATTACAGTATACATTTGTATAGATTTTTTTAATCATGTAATCAATAACGCTAAATTTTATGCATAATAATTCTTCTTTTCACAATATGTTTTAAGTCATTCTGTGCTTATATTCTGCTAAAACCTATTGACAGAAATATTATATTAACTAAACTATTTTAATGTTTGTATTTTCTAGTGCAGCATGAATCCCTATGATTTTTCCACGTGTAGCGCCTATTAAAAGGCACACATCTCTACGGTTAATTGAGAAATAATAAGATATTTTTAACTGTTTTCCGCTTAATTTATTTTTTGACTTCAATGAGACAAGATTCAAAAAAGAAAGTATAAAGTTAGATATCGTGTAATGTTGTTTCAATATCAAAGAATAAATGTCAAAATATGACAAATTTCATATAATATATGCTTTATGAACGAAGCCAAGTAGAGTCCTAAAGAGGGAAAGTCTAATAACGAATTATCATTTTCGAAATCATTATACAAACGATATAAGAAAATTTGCACGTAATATATCTATAAGCAAGTATGGAAATATATGAAACAGTCTGATACACACCTGTAAAAGAATCACTTTTTACATGCATTTTACGGCCATATACGTAAACAAGTAAATTGCGTATGTAAAATAAATTTTAATATCTTTACATACTCGATTACGTATTAAAAGTGACTTTTTACAGGTACATCAGATTTTTTTATATTTACATGCGTATGTTTCTTACTTGTAAATGGAATAGGAATATTGGGCAAATCACCTTCAAAATAACTATCAAACGAGGATATCCAGAACGAAGATAGGATTGTCTTTAGTAGTAAGAACTTCGACTTATGGGCGTCGCAGTGCTTTGAATCGCGGTCGTGGTTTTCGACTTAATAGTAACTATATTTACCCTATAACGATAAATTATAAATTTCGATACAGAACTCTCCCTAAATGCACTCTCTAAATGCACACACTAAGTACTCTCTTTAAATGCACACTCTGGCTCAGTCCCGAGTAGATATGACTTCTGATTATTTATTATCCATTTTTTATTTTTTTTATATGTTCCCGGGGGGGTGCACTTAGGGAGAGTTCTCTGTATATGTAAAAAATACAGAATATACGGAAAAGTCTGACATGTCTGTAAAAAAATTTACTAATATGTAAATTGAGTATGTAAATATAAGACAAACAGACTTTTACATACGCGATTTCCGTGTATATCGGTAAACAAACGTAGTTACTGACATGTGCAACTTTCTTGTAGGGTTAACTGATCGTCGACTCTCACAGTGCAATTGGATGTTGGTGCTGGTATTTATTCTTTTCATTGTAATTATAAGACAATTCATATTGCAATTAAAGAAATTCCATTTTTTAGCTTATGTTGTATTCTTACACACATACTCATCTCCGAGCAGCCAAATATCAGGAATAGCCATTCAATGGGCCACCAAATTTCGTGCATAAGTGTGATTGCTCAGATACATCTTCAACATATTGGCTATGTGAGAATGATTTTGCATTCAAAGCTCGATTGAAATGTTAGGAATACAATATATGTACGAATCTTTCATGGGAAATCAACATGGCCAGCAAGAAATACGTAAACCTTGGATCACATGATGGACTGGCAACGAATTCGAAATTCACAAACGATTTTGTTTTTAATTAAATTCTCTTTGAATAATACTGCATACTAATAATATATAGTATTTTTTATAAACTTCAATATTAATCTTACTGTTACATGCGACATTGTCAAACCTAACGCTAATGACTATGATACATGCTTTTAACATTTAACGTTAATACAAAGCGAGATCTGTCAGCTAGGCTTCTCAAATACATATCGATATTCTAACACAGGTTTATCAAAGGTTTAATGCGTGTCAGCCTTGTGATAAACTAACGCGTTTACTTAATTTCCTCGGTCGGTTTATTTAAAGTTTAAATTTTACCCCCTTCTGTGTAACGCAAAGTCATGTCATCAAACGCTAGGCGTAATACGTGAACTTTTACGTAATCGATTTACATCTACGTACATTTAAGGATACCAATAAACACAAATGAATATACTCAGAAAAGGCCTATTCTATCATATTCACAGATTAAATTTTGTATTTACTTTTTAGTAATAAGTTTATCATTTTATAAAATACAAACGTTTGATGACTTTGTATTTATGCACCATACCGATACTATTTTTATTACTTAATCCGTTAGGAAATTAGTAAACTTAAAATAAGAAAATAACAATTATCAATTTCGAAGAATTCATAATGTTTCCTAAAAATCTTAATTTAGAGATTGTTATCGTTATTGCAACTGTTTCGTACTGAATCACATTGAATCTGGCATATCATCCGATATTTATGGCTGAAACGAGTTCAAACTCATAATTAGTAGCCTTTATACGTATACGCTAGCCAATAGTATATTTTTATCTCATAAAATTTCGGTGTAATGCATGGATCCGATGATTAAAGATTATGAGCTAGCTTCCTTCCTATATGGTGCATAACATCTAAAGTCATTTGTATTTTATAAAATGTATAAACTTCTTTACAAATAAGTAAATACAAAATTTAATCCGTGAATATGATAGAATGGGTCCTTTTTGAGCATATTCACAGATTAAATTTTGTATTTACTTTTTTGTAAAGAAGTTTATACATTTAATAAAATACAAATATTTGATGACTCTAGATGTTATACACCATATACTATTCAATATTATATAAAAAAGTAACAATTAAGTTTGTAATTGCATGTATTTATTAAATCAAGTAGATAACTATATTTTAATTAATCTTCAACCTGCAGTTTAAACTATGGTTTAACTAAATAATAACAACCGAGTTAAAACCATTTTGTAGCAGTTGGAGTTCAAACTACAATTAAACGGTTTGCTTCAAACTAACTAACAACCCTACCGGATTGAAATACTGTAGATTCCTTATCTTTATGGCAGCAAAAAATAGTTCTATATAGCCTTTTTTTAATAAAATTTTGACACATGTACGTATGTCGGTTAGCGAAGATCAAATAAACCCTGTATAAAAGATCTGCCTTATGTGCTGCATTAGTGTAGGGATTGAGATCGATTCTAATAGAAACTAGGAAGGTTTTCCAGAATAGAAAACAGATTTGTTAATAAATTCGACTTTATATCAACATCCGTAGATTATTTTTCGACGCGAAGAATCTAGTGAACCAAAAGAAACGTCTTGATTGAAATGATGCGATTCTTTAGGCATATATTTGTTAGCTACTTTGAATAATTTCTATGCAACGTTTTCTTTTCGAATACGGAAACTGCACCACTAATAATTTTCTACTTCCATTTCTAGTTTTGAGAATCGATTTCAATCTCTACCTTAACCTGTACTAAACGGGAGACTTTTTTAAACACATGGTACAAATTAAAATGAACTTATTCATATTTGCCATTTTTAATTTGTACCAGTATTTGTGTTTATAAAAAATATCAGCCAGTTTGGTATAGATTAATGCAAAAACTATTCACTGGGCTGGTATTTACGGAAAAAGAAGCACGCCGAGAAATGTTCGGGCGAAGTTTACAAAAATGTTCATTTAATGCTATTAGAGGCAGATCTACATGTACATGTATTTAACGTAATCACATGTACAAATTTGTCTATATATACGGTTAAATTTTCCCTGAAAAGAGCATCAATAAAAAATCACCAGATTTGATAACATCAAACACATCTCTTCTACTTTCTATTTTATATCAAAGCCTAACCGAACTATGAAATCTATCCTTTGGTTTACTGTTATCATTTGCATCATACATGCAGTCTTACCGTCACCTATGTCACTTATGAAACGCTGTACTTATGGTGGCAGGAAAGAAGATTGTGATGGTGGCGATGCTTGCGCCAGCACTGATGATTGTTCGGGCGATCTGGTCTGTTACCATGGATATTGCTTTGAAGATTACGACTACCCAGGTGTTCCATGCTGCTAAGTTAGACGAAGTATGATGAGAAAAAGTGCCCTCACATAATATTATTTAAGATATTTATTATAGGTTAATCTATTTATTTTATACAAATAATATTTTACTGTAAAACAATATTCTTATCATTTCGCTATTATACTGTGATGAATTTATTTAGTTATACATATATTTTGTTGACCATTATATATGACGATAATAAAATGCTTTTACCACATTAAAACATTTCGCTAAATAAATAAATACAGCCCACAAATAATATACCCCCAGGACTAAAAAAAGATGATAATTGTAAAGAGATTATGATTGCAAGGAAGTCCAATTTCCTTTGCTTCTTGATTTTTGTTATGATAATGGTATAGGATCACAAAGATGATAAAAAAGCGTTGGATGATAATTGAAATCAACAAAAGGTGGAGTTACAATAAGTTAATGTTATATGGGTAACTGTTAATTATGCGATGCAAAATGAATATTTTTAGCTTAATTATCGAAGAGATATCGATAAAATGAATTTAAGCTATTTCAAAATATAGCAAGATTAGTCCAAGTTCATTTGAGGAATGGACTTTTCGCGAAAATAGTACGAAAATGAGAATTTTCTGAAGTTGGCTATAAGTTTAATTTAAAAATAGCTAAAAGTTATCAGTGTGAATTTGGAATTTCAAGTAGGTTAAATTATTGATTTGAAAAATTTATTCAGATTTTTTGATGTAAAATTTCAAGCTTTATAAAGTTAAGTTATAAATAGCTTGTTTCACTTTTATATATTAGCATATTTTAAACAAACTACAAAATTAGTCGACAATTATGATATTTACGAACTCTTTCAATAGTTATTCTAAAATTAAAAATCTACAACAAATTAAGTAAATACAAAGATTTCTCTTCTATATCAGAAAAATTACATAGCTATAATAAACTTGAATTTTCAACTATAAATAATCTAAACTTTTCTTTCTTTTACAAAAGAACATAGTCAAGATAATCCAATAGTTGTGACTTAATAAAAATTCATATGTTCTTGTGCTTACCTTTAATTGTTTGGAAATATTAAGAATGAATAGCAACTGACTCTCGTCTAATAATCAAGTACGCCAAATTCGTCTCGCAGTTCAAAAAAATAAATACGAAATCGAGCGAATGATTTGTGTCCTAATTAAAGTCAAAATATACACTATATTGAGTGACCACATAGCGTGCTTTTAGGGAGACATGTTTTTCTAAATAATATTACAAAGTCTCTTAAATCATTCTTCAACATTATCTTCTTTAGCTGGATTGATCCAAGCGCATTAAAATAATATAAATTAAATCAATTATTATCTCATAAATCACTACTTCTTTGTAAAGAAGTTTATACATTTTATAAAAATAAAAATGATTGATGACTTTAGATGTTATGCACCATAGAACGATAAAAATATCGAGATTAATTAGTATATAAAATACATAAGTGATAAAAATCATATCACGTTTGAACTGCGTGTAATAAAATATAGTTTGCACATCCAAAAATCGTATAATTTTGCATTTTTAAATAATTCGCCTTCAAAATATATTTTTTGAAAATAAAATATTGTATACATCAATTTTTATTCATTATTGTAAAATCACCTAAATTCGAGAAATGTCTGATTTTAATTGTTATATCATAATAATACCTAATTTTACTGAAACTATTATTTAAATCTTCGTATCGATTGTAACATTGTTTTGGTTTCTAATTCCATTGGTTTTGAATTGTTACTATCCATGCAGGTAGGGATTAACCAGTCCCAAATGGTCCTAATGGTCCCATGCAAACTACTAGTTTTAGAGATAATTTTTTTCTTACAAGTTACCAATTAAACTTGTTTATAACAATATTTTAATATGTCTTACTTATTGAAAATAAGTGATAGTGTCTTGAGAAATTAGAATGCTTTAAAATGTAGGATTTGTGATGATCACAGGACTGAAGCAGTCCCAGGAAAAATTGCTGATTTTGGAGATAATTTTATTCTATAGACTATTAATAAAATTTATTGATAACAATATTTTAAGGAAGTTACTTATTGTAATTAAAACAATTTGATTTGTCTAGAATTAGTAATTTTCAAAATTATTGGGACCGTTTTGGGATTGGTTAACATCCCAACATGCAGGTACATCACATCTGCAACCGTTTACGTATTTAACATTTTGATTATTTTTGCGAACTTTATATAGAATAAATATGCGAATTAAAAAGTATTATAATATGATATGTTGGCCATTATATCATTATCGATTAGTGTATTTATTTATTTTTTTGTAAATTTTCTATGTATGTAATATTGATTCTGTCACAAGAAATGTCTGCTTTCTTGCAATATAAATGTGATACAGTTTTCAAAAGTAGAATATTTCACTCATATCTGCAACGAGTTACCTTTGCGATTCTTAATAAACATCGGGTAAACAACATGAATTTTGTATGCATTGAAATTTACATATAGCAAAACATTTCGGCCGTATTTATCTTTGATTTACAGTATATGATAAATCACATCTAAAATATTATAAGTAAATGAATTCAAGAAAAATTTAATGGCTAAGGATATTGGTTTCGATGATAATATACCAGTGCATTTAGTAAAGAAGTTAAAACATGGTTTACTGCGAACCAAATAAAAAGAATAGAATATTGGTCTCTCAATCTTTAGACTTAACCTGATATGGGAACAGCTTGAAAAAATAAATCATAATATAAAGAAGAATTCAAGAATGTATTAACCATAATGATAGACCAACTAAAAAGACTTTGATCTGGTCAGAATATACATTACACGTATATCCACAGTACATAGATATAGCTCTATGTTTTATTGTTGTAGTGTTTCATCATGGATTTGTAGGTTTTCTTGAATAAAACTTGGTGTGTCTTCATTCTCTTTAATTTCATATGGTATACTAAAATCGAAATCTGTTTGCAAAATCAAGGAAAAATTAGCGATGCATAATGAAATTAAAAAAAAATATCGATATTAGATAGCGATAGTGACTTACCTTCATTTGGAACATACAAACGGATACTTGTAGAGCCTAAATACTCAAAATAAATTTCAATTCAGATATTCAGATGGAATTTTAATATAATTTACATTTATTTTTAAATGTACCTGTATTGTCTAGAACTGGAATTAATTGCGTGGTAAAGATTCGACTGGTATAAATTGCATTTGAGTGGATTTGTTGTTTTTTGTCTACATCTGTAGAAATGTTATTTTGAACTTTCATCTCTTTATCAAGTTCTTTCCATTTCTGCGTTTCTAATTTAAGACACACAATAATTTCTTTATGTGTTTTAGGATTTTCTAAAGAGCTATAGTATTGAAAATGCAAAGTATTCGGTTTCCACTCCTCATCGATATAGCGGATAGAATCGATAAAGTCTTTAAGTTCCTCGGCAGTTGGTCTGTTTTCTGGAATTTGATCCCAACATTTTTCAATAATAAATTTGCACCACCCAAAAATATTTTTTGTTATCTTAGGTCGTACTCCTTTATAGATGTCGTATACGAGATCTATATCATGACTTCGCTCGCCGAATGGTCGTTCACCTGTTACAATCTCGTAAATAATCATCCCAAAACTATACATATCTGCAGCTTTAGTGTATGGCTTTCCATTTAACACCTCTGGACTAATATAAGGGAGAACTCCATAAATTTTGTGATTAGATCTATTTGCATCTGCTGGGCTGTTAAGTCCAAAATCGGCAATACAAGCTTCACGATATATTAATATATTTCCAGGGTGAAAATCACGATGCACAAAGCCCTTTTCGTGAATCTTTTTCAGATCATAGAGAATATTATATAAATGTTTTAACATTTCTTCCCAAGTCAATTGTTTATATTTGGAATTACATGTAATATATTTTCGTAGATCTCCATTTTTTGCATAATCCATTACTATCGAGTATTCATTTGTAACCGGGTTTTTAGTTATTCCATAATACCTTATTAAACTTACAGCGCACGTTAGAGCAGTCTGAATCTATTTTGAAAAATTTAATTATATTAGAGGATAAAATATTATGTTTACATTTAGAATGCTTACCTCATTAATGAACTCCAACGTAACTTGCTTTGAATTATTTAATGATTTCAACACAACTTCGCAATCTCCATATCGTTTAAATTTGTTTTCTTCATGATCCCACTTGCACTCGTTATCCATTGGTCCGTCCAACCAGGTTGCTTCATAAATTTTTCCGAAACCACCTTTTGTAATATATTTAATATTGGTGAATCTTTCAAATAGGATCCATTCAAATGAGATAGGTGTTCTAATTTTTGTGTATTCTTGTATAAGACTGTTGATATCTTTATTTCCGATAGACAATCCAGCTATATAAAGTTGAAGGTGATAATGGGAGCATCGACAGCAGTACACATTTTTTTGACAATTGGCACATTTACTACAATCATAACTATAGTGAACTGGACATTTTCTGCAGTAATTAAATTTCTGACAATAGACACATTTACTACAATCATGAGTATTCAAAATTTTAGAATCCATCTTTCTGACTTATAAATTTTTTTAATGAATTTGAGATGATTTATATAATTTTATTCTCTATTGTTAATCACCGATTGTCAATTTTTGTGTTAATGTCAATCATCAATTGTCAATTTTTGTAACTGATTGTTTTATTGCTAAAAGGAGTTTTGTTTTGACCAGCGCGCCGCAGAACAAGATGCGGATTCGATGGATTTTAGAGAATAATTTTAAACAACTAAAAGAAGGGGTTAAGTGGCAGCTTCTATTATTTGAAGAAAGGTAAGTTTAAGTGATTAATATACGCCAGTGTTTGAAAATGACATTGAAATGACATTAAATGACGTTTATTAATAAATTTTAAGTGAATAAATGACAAATCATTTGAAAAATAGCAAATGACAATATCATTTGCGAAATTTCTGTGCATATAGTAAATTACTTTATGTATAAATACAATGCTTTTGAAATCCGCATATTATACGCAGTTTTAAACAATGGGTGTGTACGTATAAAATATAATACAACTAAACCTCGATATATCGAT